AAGGAAAACGCCACCATTTCTAGCTTCAAAATGGTCGCGTTTTACCTTCGAATTAAAAAAAAAAATAATAATAAATAAATACAATACGCGACCATTCTTTGTCAAGAATGGTCGCGTATTACTAACAATGCGCGACCATTTCAAAATGGTCGCGTAAAGTCCATGACTTTACGTGAGCCTCTCATAGGCAACCATTGTACAATGGTTGCCTATTGTCTTTTACAATGGTTGCCTATCTGCAATTTTGTACTAGTGGTGACAACACTTTAGTCACAATAGTTGCACATATTTGTGAGAATTGTTCTTGACGTAAAAACGATTATCAGTGACCAAAAAGTGGTATCAATAATTACTTTCTTGTGACAACAATCATGGTAACAAGTGTTGTATGCATTTGTGACAAAAGAAGTTAACTCTAAAACAATCATTAGTGGTAACTAAAGTCGCACAACAATCCAATTTCTTGTAACCATCATCTTCGTCACTGATATCTTTGAAAATAATGGCAACGTATTTGTCACTAAAATAATGAAAATTAGTAGCGAAATTTGTGTCACAAAAATAAGTTGAAATATTGTAACTATTATCAATCTTAATGTTTTTATAAGTGAGCATTACTTGGTCACAATTCTTTTTCCAAATAATACTAGCCAAGTGCACAAAAATAAAATTATTTATTTCAAATCTTGTCATAATTAAATATTTTAATTTAATTATTATTTAGAATAAAATAATTCATTCAACAAATGTTAGTCATGAAATTAATATATATATATATATATATATATATATATATATATATATAGACATCGATGTCTAACAAATATACTTTGTAAGAAATATAACTGAATTCAAATAAAAATGTTTTAAAATAAGATGTCTTGATTATTCGTCACTTGAGGTAGTTGGTGGAGATGCATTGCTTAGCATATTTTGAATCCCTTGATTGCTTGCTAAGCGAGCAAAAATTTGCTTGATTTCAGCAGCTTGTTTCTCTAAAGCTGCTTGTGCGATTTCTTTAAATTTTACAACTTCTTCTTCTAAATTCTTTTCACGCTTCTTTGAATCTTCTACTTCTGGCCTGGTTGAAGAAGATTCTTCTCTTGGACTTTTGAAGTTATCCCCTTAAGAACTAAATCACGTGCATAGCTTGACTTTCTTTTTAATACCAAATCAAAATGTTCAACAAGTGGTAGAGGTGCAGCTGAAATCTTTTCTTTATTCTTCTCTCCCTCTTCTTGAAGTTTATTCTGCAATTATGATAAATATTAATAATTGAGTAATATAAAAAATATAAATTTATTAATATGATGATCAAGTAATTCTAACTTGTTTTTTTTTTTATTTTTAAAAAAGGTAATTCTAAATGTATTCCAAACCTAATATAATATTGAAATTATTCAAAGTTTCAGTCTTACCTTTAAAAATATCCACATTGTATTGACATCCTCATTAGGAATCTCTTTCCAACTAGAGACTCGAAGTGGTGCAAATTGTCGAATGCACATAGTCACTTCAGCTTTGAACAAACTAGCATCTTTACCACAAACCTTATGGTATGTTGAAGGAAATAGAATACATATTTCTTTGCCTCTAGCTTTTTTCTTGTCAAGTCCTGTATTAATTGTTCGCCCTCGACCACGTTTTTTAATATTTTCGTTGAATCGTTTCCTACAGTAAACTTATATATATATATATATATATATATATATATATATATATATATATATATATATATATATATATATATATATATATAAGTATACAATATTATATAAAAAGAAGATTAAATTTTAACTCAAAAGATTTTTAAAAAAATCACATCACCTGTGCAACCAATAACATGTTCTTGTACTCTAGGTGCGATGTATCAATTATTCCGGAGAGTTGTTGATTAGAAACTTCATTAGTCTAAGTCTCGCCCACCACATGAGAATTATGCTTATCAGTTAAACTTGTTAATAACCTTGGTCTTCTAAAATTAACCATTATACACATATACATAAATAAAAATTGAGTTATTAATAAATCAAGATTAATACATTTTGGGTTAATCTTTCCAAACTCCCACTAATAATAAATAAATAAATACATTTTGAGTTTCTCTCTCGCCACGTTTTCGCGAGTTTTCCAAACCCTACTTTTTTAGGGTTCCGATAGCGACCTTTGGAGGGTTCCGGTAGCGGTGTTTAGCAGATGGCAGCGGACGGAGGAGGGGATATCACAGACCTGTGTGCGAATTTAACCTTGGCAGACGTCGACGATGAGGACATAACGACGCGGGTACCTAATGTTCCAGTAGGAGGGGAAGCCCAGGGTGCAAGCTATTATGCGGTGGGAAGGTTAGTTACCAACAAGCAGGTTAAATTCCTTTTCTTTCAAGATACAATGGCGTCAGTTTGGCAGCCTGCGATGGGAGTTACAATGCTCCAGTTACAGCCTCAACGCTTCCTTATTCAGTTTTATCATGAGACGGATTTGGCTAGGGTTTTGAGGGATGGTCCATGGACGTACGAGCAAAGCTTGCTGGTGTTGAAGAAGGTCGAACTTGATGAAGACCCGGAGACAATTGTTCTTAATCAAATAGAGTTCTGGGTCCAGATACATGCACTGCCGGCTGGCCTACGATCGAGTGCAGTGGCTTCGACATAGGTTCGTTCCTGGGTACTTTGATAGCTACAGATGAAAAGAATTTTGGGGGTTCAATGAGAACATATTACCGTGTTCGGGTGGCTCTTGACATTACTAAACCCTTGAAGAAGCAGTTGAAGATGAAGAAGGATAATGGCGGGGGGGTGTTTGTGGACTTCAGGTATGAAAGGCTGCCGACTTTTTGTTTTCTTTGTGGGATAATAGGGTAAGGTGATAGGGTCTGCCCAAGGATTGCTCTTGAGGCAGATTTAAATGCTGAAAAGCCGTATGGGGTGGGGCTGCGGGCAGGAGCGAGGCGAGCTGTTCCCACGGCGGGGCAGCGCTGGGTTGCGCCTGAGCTTGTTGAAGACCGGAGGGTGTGGTTGGCTCATGGAATGGTGGCGGGGGAGTCTCTGCAGTCTGCAGTAGATGAGACCGAGGTGGCAATTTCAGTAGCTAAGAGGAAGAGGGTTGATGAGCAGAGAGAAACTGATGGGGGATCACGATTTGAGGTGGAAGCGGATGACGGTGTGTCAAAAAATGGCCTGGAGGAGGGATTTGCGTCGCAAGCCCGCCGAGGATTATGAGTATCATAGAATGGAATTGTCGGGGGCTTGGCAACCCTACGGCAGTTCAGGTACTCGCGGACATAGTTCGCGCGAAGCGGCCGAGAGTGATTTTCTTGATGGAGACATTTGTGGACAAGCATAGGATGGAGGGGGTGCGTGTCCAGTTGGGTTATGATAGTGTGTTCGTGGTTGATGCGGATGGGCATAGTGGGGGCCTTGCATTGTTATGGACGAGCTCGGTGGATCTCCAGGTAACAGGTTTTTGTGCTAATTATATTGATACAACTGTGTGTTTGGATGTGGGTAACCCAGAGTGGCGATATACGGGGTTTTACGGTTTCTCCCAAAGAACGAGGCGCCGAGAATCCTGGCAGTTGTTACGGCAGTTGGCAGGGATGAGTACTATGCCCTGGGCTGTAATGGGAGATTTTAACGATCTCATGAGCGAAGCTGAGAAACGGGGACGAGCCCCGCAGCCCCCGTGGTAAATTAATGGCTTTTGTGAAGCGATTGCAGATAGTGGGTTGCAGAATTTCCCGTTTGAGGGCTATCAGTTCACATGGAATCGGCATAAAGGAACGAGTAATATGGTGGAGGAGAAGTTAGACAGGATTCTGGTCACGGATAGTTGGCTGACAATGTTTGAGGGTGCGTCGGCTATGTCATTAGCATGCCCGTATAGTGATCATATGCCTTTGCTGCTTGTACCGGTTGCTGTGGTGCATGCTGCGCGGCGGAGGAGGTTTTTGTTTGATAATGTATGGTTGCGGGAGGAGAGGTATAGGGAGATAGTGGCTCAAAGTTGGGGCCGTACGGTGGGACTTGAGGTGTTGGACCGGATTGAGTCATGTGGCAAGGATTTATGGCGTTGGGGGAGGACCTATAATAGGGACTTCCAACGGCGCATTGATAAGTGTAGACGGGAGCTGGAGATCCTAAAGCCACGTAGTGATCGTGATGGGCTAATTGCTTATGCTAATGTAGAACGGGAAATGCTTCACTTATTAAATCAGCAGCACCTTTACTGGAAACAGAGAGCGAAGGAGCATTGGTATAAGGATGGGGATTTGAATAGTAAATTTTTTCACAACTCAGTGAAAGCTAGGAGGAGGCGGAATAGAATAAGGAAGTTGAAGGATGACGAAGGGAATTGGATACAGTCTGAGGAAGGGGTTGGGAATGTGATGCAGGAGTATTTTACTAAATTGTTTGGGTCTGAACAAGGTGGCATGACTGAAGTAATTGATGCCATTCAGCCTAAGATAAATGCACAGCAGAATGCCCAGTTGCTGCGGCATGTGAGTATGGAGGAGGTGAGAAAGGCAGTCTTTCAAATGCACTCGGATAAATATCCAGGGCCGGATGATTTAGGCCCGGGTTTTTTTCAACATTACTGGGACATCGTGGGGGAATCGGTAACCGGCTTCTGTAGTGAGTTCCTACGTGATACTACTTTACCAGAGAAGGCGAATGATACTTATGTGGTTCTGGTCCCAAAGAAGCCAACACCGGAGTCTATGAAGGATTTGCGGCCCATAGCACTGTGTAATGTAGTGTATAAGATAGCAGCTAAAGTTTGTGCAAATCGGCTGAAACCGTTTCTGGAGGGGATTATTTCACATGCGCAGAGTGATTTTGTGCCGGGTCGCCTTATAACGGACAACATAATGTTGGCATACGAGGCGCACCACTATCTGCGACGGAAGACTCAGGGGAAGGAAGGGGTGGTGGCCCTAAAGGTGGATGAGTAAGGCGTATGACCGGGTGGAGTGGGGTTTTCTCGAGGCTGTGATGCTTAAGATGGGATTTGAGAAGAGGTGGGTGGTTATTTTGATGGAGTCTTTCAGAACTGTAAGGTATCATATTTTGTATGAGCAGCGACAATTGGGGCCTATCTTGCCAGGAAGGGGGTTGCGTCAAGGTGACCCTTTGTCACCTTATCTGTTCCTGTTGGTGGTGGAAGGTTTGAGTGTTATGATAGACAGGTTTATGGGTGTGGGCAAGCTACATGGCATCTGTGTTGCCCGAGTAATAAGAACCAGTACACATGGAATCCAATAAGGGTCTATAGTGGGCTCATCACAAGGCCCATAACTACATCCTTAAAGAATCATTGGTGGAAGAAACAAGAAGGCCCAATAATAATTCCATTCGATAGAGGAAAGTATTATAGTGGCCCATTTCAAGTGATATCATGGATCGAAGACAATGCTTACAAGATTCGAGGTCGAATCATTTTCAAGAAAGTGAGGATGATGCGGCCCAACATAATGAAGATCCATCAAGAGTATCAATTGGGCCAATCACATGGCCCAAGTCCAAACGATTAAGACAACTCCTCATTGGTGATATTCAAAGATGGTGGAAATCTAAGTCAAGCCCATTTGCAAAAGATGAAGAAGATTTCAAGACTTTTTAGAATTGTTTAAGTGCTGATTTTGGTGATTAAATTAGGCACGAATCAGCCGTATTATTTTTGGTCATCATTAATTTAAATTGTTTGGCATAAAAGAGAAAACACTAGTTGTATTTAGAAAGGATTCCTTAAATCATTTTCTAAATAAAACTCTATTTATTTGTTTTCTAGATTAGATTTAGGACTCTTTTTCCCATTGTATTTAGATTACAATGCTGTCCTATACCTATAAATAGGGCACATCCATATCAGTTTGAAGGAGGCTTTAATTCAATAAAATTCTTACGTTTTTCTTTACACTTGTGTAAGAAACCTTGTGGCTAATTGTGGACTCAATTAGTGGCTAGTCGTGGACTCGGCTAGCAAATTGATTCGTGGACTCGAATCAATCTTCCTTTCTTCAACCTTAGATTTAGGTTCGTGGACTCGTTCTTGAATCGAAGGAAACTAGATCCGACTCTAGTTGATTGAAGATTGCAACATCGAGGTACTTGAAGCTACATGGGATTCTTCTAAGTCTTTGAGGATTCGAGACAAAGGTTTTCTCGTGAGGTTTAAGGTATTTTGATCCATCTCTATCTTTAATTTTGAGAGCATTCTTGGGACAATATTCCATCTTTATTTGAACCTTGGACTAGGTTCATATCACTGGGGAGCACCACCGATCTCTCATCTGCTGTTTGCAGATGATTGTTTTCTGTTTCTTCGGGCAAATGAAGGCGAGACTGTTGGTATGAAATACGTGTTGGACAAATATTCGAGAGCATCAGGACAAATGATTAATTATGATAAGTCTGTGGTGTATTTTTCGAGTAATATGAAGCCTGCCCAGCGGACTATGGTCACTCAAATATTGGGGGGGGTGGAGGGGGATACGGCAGGAAAGTATCTAGGGCTCCCATCGATAGTAGGACGGAGGAAAAAACAGATTCTGGGTTTCCTGAAGTATAAGATCCTAGCCAAGGTGAGGTCTTGGAATGCAAGGTTCTTGTCAAGGGCTGGAAGGGAGGTGCTTCTTAAGAATGTCATCCAGGCGATGCCAAGCTATGCAATGATGGTTTTCCTATTGCCACGAGGGACATGTAGGGATATAGAGACTATTATGAATGAGTACTGGTGGACAGGAACTATGGGAAATGGTAAGGGGATACGGTGGAGATCATGGCAAGGGTTAACAGCTCCGAAAGCAGTAGGGGGGATGGGTTTCCGTTCTTTGCATGAAACTAATTTGGCACTCTGGGGAAACAAGCATGGGGGTTGATAACGAGGCCGAACTCAATGGTGGCACGGGTTTATAAAGCCCGGTATTACCCAAATTCTTCTTATGATGAAGCAATGGAGGGGAGTAACCCATCCTTTATTTGGCGGGGTTTGCTCGAGGTCCAGCGAGTGGTACGGGATGGGTGTAGGCGGAGTATTGGGAATGGCCAGGACACGGTGATTGGTAAGCATGCATGGTTGCCATCTGAGGATGAGCCTTTTGTCACTACGCTAGTAGATGAAGGGATTTTTAACTCACCGGTATCTTCTTTGTTTGATGCTCAAAATGCAGGATGGGATGTGGATCGAATACGGGCCATTTTCAATGCCCGAGATGCCAGCTTGATTCTGAATATCCCAATTTCGAAACGGAGGCCAAGGGATTCGTGGTACTGGTTCTGGGAAACGAGGGGCGAGTATTCTGTTAAATCGTGTTATAAACGGTTGAAGGGTATGATGGATGATGTGCGGTTGTGGACTCAGATATGGAATTTGCAGGTGCCACCGAAGGTTAAGCACTTTAGCTGGCAATTGGCTTCTTCTTTTCTGCCTACTAATGATGCCCTAGGAACAAAGAATATTCACTGCGGTTTGATGTGTCATATGTGCAGGAGTGTGCCCGAGAGTGCTTATCATTTGTTTGTGGAATGTGCTGCTGCAGCTCGTGCCAGGACTCTTGTGGGTGTGCCAACCATGGGGGTACCACATGGTAATGATTGGTTTTTTGCTATGTTGTCTCATTTGCATGGGCTTTTAGTACCAAAGTTCGTTATGGTGTGTTGGGGTTTGTGGCAAAGCCGTAATGAGAGTGTTTGGAATAGTGTTGCTTTTAATGTGGAGTTGGTGGTGCACCGGGCACTCAGTTTCTGGAGTGGGTGGATTGCCGTAAATTCACATGACCAAGCAGGACCAACAAATACAGGAGGGGAAAGGTGGGAACGGCCCGAAGCAGGGCGGCTCAAGCTCAACACGGATGCTAGTGTGCTGCCGGACTCCAATTCTATGGGGTTGGGGTGGGTGCTACGAGATCATGCAGGAACTTTTCTGGCCGCGAAGAGTGTGAATCTGGGGGGAACGTCTACAATTAATGAGGCTGAGACCGTATGCTTAAGAGAGGCACTGAGTTGGCTGAAAGACACAGGTATGGGTGGAGTTGATGTGGAGCTGGATTCACAGGTTGTTTATTTTTCCCTACAAGCACCTTCTTTTGTTTCTGCGTTTGGACTGCTTATTGATGATGTAAAAGAATTAGCATCAGTGATAGATGATGTTAGATTCTCTTTTGTTAAACGATCTGTGAACTGTGTCGCTCACACTTTAGCTAGAGGGGCGAGTTCAACTGCAGGTTGTGGAGAGTGGTTTGATGTCCCACCTCATTTTCTTGTAACGCATATATCTTTTACGTGATTTAATGCATTAATCCTTTTTCTTCAAAAATAAATAAATAAATAAATAAATCAAGATTAATATGTATATATTAACAAATCAAAATATATATTCCAGAAGCAGGCTCATTGTTTTGGAAAAAAAAAACAAAAAAAAAACAAAAAAAAAAACAAAAACAAAAACAAAAACAAAAATATGGCAGTAGGATTTTGAGGTCTGATTGGGGTGTGATTTTGGGGAATGCTAGTGTACACAAGTATTTTTTTCTATTTGTATTTTTATTAAAGAAGGTAGTATTATTTCATCTGCTAATTAAATAAAAGAGTAAAAGACATTTTTAGTCCTAAATTTATAGTGGCTTGGACAATTTTTGTCCTTTATAAAAATATTTGTCATTTTATGGACAGAGTTATTGTGGCGAGGACATTTTTGGTCCTCCGTCTATATTTCTGTTAGATAATTGTCTGAGAGAGGGGTAATTACGTTAATTTAGGCTATCTTCTTCTATCTATTATATCTATGTGTGTTTTGTTTTCTTCTCGGTCATAATTCGAAGGAGTCGGAGAGTCCAAGTTGCAGTTGTACGAAGAAATTGCCGGAGAATCGAAGCCACCAAACAGGTTACTAATCAAATAGATAGAAGGAGAATAGAAGCCGCCAAACACACATAGATATAATAGATAGAAGGAGATAGCCCAAATTGACGTAATTGCCCCTCTATCATACGGTTATCTAACAGAAATATAGACGGAGGACCAAAAATGTCCTCGCCACAATTACTCTGTCCATAAAATGGCAAATTTTTTTATAAAGGACTAAAATTGTCCAAGCCACTATAAGTTTAGGACCAAAATGTCTTTTACTCTTAAATAAAACATGCAAGCTAAATTTTTCATTATTATTCTTAAATTTAATAATTATTAAATTAATATTTAACTGAATGACCAAATTTGGAACAAAATCAAAAGTCAAAGAACGATTTATGGTCATACTCAAAGTCGAGGTAAAAAATTTGTACGCAGACGTGTTATTTAATTTCATAATATAAATATTCTATAATAAATAAATGTGAATTTTCAAAAATATATACAGAGAAGCTTGAGCGAAGATTATCCAATAAATTGGTCACTTATTTATATAATAATGGTTTTATCGAAATCAGGTCTACCATAAACCAAATACATATGTATAGAATGAATCATTATTGCGTGGACCGCGGTTCACACATTTCTTTAGACTACAGTCCAAAAATTTAAAAAATATATTATTATAACTCATAAAATACATTATTCTGAGTTTTTTCCCAAAATGGTCCCTCGACTATCGCTCATTCTCAATTTTACATTCCCACTTTCAATTGCACGCAATGTGGTCCTTTGACTTTTAAAAACTACCCCAAATTGGTCCTCCATTACCTTTTCCATCAACTAGGCGTTAAGTTTAAGGGTATTTTCCGTTCATTCACCTCATTAGCGCCATACAACTGGTTCGTCCCTATTGCGCCAATATGCATTCTCATATGCTCATAACACTTAATAACCATTAGACATAACCATTTTCCATTATTCATTCTCGACAATTTCAACAACAATTACGAATTCTCACCTTCCTCTGCCGTCTAACTCACGCTGTCGACACCGCCGTAGCCAACCACAGTCCGACGCAGAGAGAAACCAACCACCCTAAGCTCCGTTCACGCCGGGAAGCCAACCCACTGCCGGAACAGCTACTCGCCGGGTGAACTGTTGCTGACTAAGAGAAAGGGAATAAAGAACAGGCTGCTTCTGCACACTGCCATCGCTTCTTCGCTGCACATTTTTGCCGGAGCTCTTGAAGTCGCTGTCCGCCACCGTCATCGGAAGGGAGATACGAAGAGAGGAGGGCGCTTATTCGACGAGAGAGAGACAAAGAAGTCAGCAGATTGGGGAAGAAAGATGAACATCAATATATTGTACCCCAATCTGCTGACTGCTGAGGTACACAAGAAGAAATATATATTTTGATGTCATACCCAAGAAAATACATATTATCCAGTCAAGTTGTCAATGTTCTTCGATCCTTGCAGTAATATCAACTGAGGTAGAATTGCTATTGCTACAAGATATAGGGAGAAAGTCCAAAGTAACTGAAAGAAGAAGTCAGATTTCAGGCAGTGTCAATAGAAAACTACAGAGTAATAATGGGACATGTATCAATGATATTCCTGACACAAATGATTGCCCACAAATGGTAACAGGATATACAAAACTAAGCTTCCTCCAGACACTTAAACCCTCCCACCACTGCTAGCTTGTTCCTATCTCAAACATAGTAAAGAATAAAGATCTGAATCCAAGAAAAAAGGATCAAGAGCACTTAGCAAATAAAAAACTACGGAGTATTATTTTTTCACAGAAGAACTTGGTAGAATAAATAGCGTCTCTTTTCAAATATCTCCATCAGTAATCTTATTTTCATCCTACTGACTATGAGGTTCCCTAGCATTGTCCCAAAATGGCTTGGAATATAAACTCAAGCCCACAAGTCACACACCCCTACCAAAAGGAAAAGTAGCAGATAAAATTAAATATATTCGGCACCTGAGGTATCAATAACACATGCCTCTATTATCATACCAAAATAGCTTGGATCCGCAGATTCAAGCCTCACAAGTCACACGCTCTTCCCAACAGGAAAAAAATAGGAATAAGGTGCAAATAAGCCATCAACTAGATATGAAAATGCAATTGGACCACTGAACTAAAAAAAAGTTACAATTAAGCCATCGAACAACTTAAAATGATGCAATTCTACCAAATAACACGTTACTTTGCCATGTCACCGGTTACCTTGCTTACGTGGCATTAATTTAAATTATTTTATTATAAAAACATTTTAAAAAAATAAAAAAAAAAGAAAAAAAAAAAAAAAGCCACGCAGACTGCCTTCAACCGGTTCTCCATATCCAGATCCATGGATCCATCTACACTGAAATCACTCACCAATTGCCAATTTTTCATCTGACGCTGCTTCTGGCATGTTAATGTCTCGTGTGGTATCGTTAGAAGTAGAATCCATAGACATAGTTACTGCCTGCTCTAACAAGGCCTTTTCATCATCTTGAAATGTATCCAAGAAAGCTTGGGTGTTAATGAAACTCAGTAACTCACTTCTGAAAATTGAAACTAGTCCTTTTAGTTTTTGTCCAGTCTTTCTTATAATATATATAGTTATTGAAGGATCCTAACCATTAGATCAGAAGCCTTGCTTTCCGATTCAGATATTCCAACAACAACATTTTTTGTCACGCCATCTTGGATAGTTGGCAGGTTTTCTTCTTTCTCTTGTTCTGCAATTTCTTCAGCAGCCATCTTCGCAACTGCTTCTTGTCTTGCTCTTTCTTCTTCCATTAAAACTCGAAGTGCCAGGGTAAGTTCAAGATCCAAGTTGGGATCGACACCAAATTCAAAGCCAAATAATCCACCCAGTCTCCATTGATCTTCATCTCCAGATCCATGGGGAGTTAGGGACGAAGATGCTTCTTCTTCTCCATGGATCTGGAGACCGTCGGTCTCTGTCTTCATCTCCAGATCCATGGAGACGGAGATGCTTCTTCATCTCCATGGATCTGGAGAC